CGCCGAGGCTCCGGTGGGAAGCGGGACTCGAACAGAGAGTTCAAACTACACCCGTGAACCCAACGTTACCCCGAGCAAATGCTGAGGGATGCAAATACGGAGGACGCCGCCGCCGCCGCCCTTTTGGGTTTTTTGGCCTTTTACCCTCACCCAAGGGCTTCTACCGGAGGCACGGTCATAGGTGCCTCACCGCGCGTCAATAGTTAACAATTAGGAAGAGTTCATTCTAGATGGCTAGTCAAGCTGGGGTGCAGCGACCCCATAGCAACCCCATGGTAATAGGCAGCCATGTAAAGTTACATTGTAGACAGTGAGAGAAAATGCCCACCGCGGACGGAAAAGTATGTTTGGTATGCCAGGCCTTTGAAAGATCGGATTAGTCTCCTGTGACTATCTGATGTCCTGTAAACCTTTCCTTCAAAACTGTGTCACAAACATGCACTTTTGGTATTTAAAGAAAAGCTGAGAATGAAAAAGGAAAAACATAAAAGAACTTCAGAAATGACAAAAATGAGATTTTTATTTACACAAGAACATCTTGACACTTAACCAAAATCAAACACATGAGGATTTTATTAGCTCCTTCATAAATGATTTTACGAAAAGAATGACTCACAAAGTACCAGAATTAGGTATAGTATTAAAAAGAAAGGGCAGTGGAAGAGTATTTTTTCCGTTGAGAGGCAACAGGAGCCCAAGGCAGGGCACCGTGAAGAAGGAAACGTCATTGGGCGCAAACTGCTCGACGGTGGCCGCCGCACCGCTGCCAGGCCCGCGGCTGCCGCAGTCAGTCCTGGCTCCTGGTTCCGCTCCAGAGACCGAACCGAGCCTCCGGAACGGGCCGTGAGCCGGGGCCAGGGGGACGCTGGCTTACAGACGGAAGTGCCTCCCTTGGTCCCCCAGGGGCGAGGACTCCAAGTCTCCCAAGTTTGATTGGTCCAAAAGGCACTGTTCTGATTGGTCAGAATGAAGCTGCTCTGATTGACAGGTGAAGATGCTAATGGGGGACAAGCGAGGTGTAGCTGCGCTGCGCCAATTGGGCAGGGACAGCCTCAGTGCTACTGGTTGGGAGAGGATTCCCGGGGCTCCTTTATAAGGGCTGCTCGGCGGAGGAGCAGGCACAGGCGGGCTGCTCGGTGCAGACGCGGGCGCGCAGTGCGGCTCCTCCCCGCGGTGCGGTTTGCGTGGGCGGGCCCTGTGTAGACCTGGCTGGTAGGCCCTGTTTTTCCATTTGAGCCTGGTTAAGCCACCAGGAGCCCTTCTCAGTAGGCTTCTTCTTTCTCAGGGTCCACAGTCCCAAACTTCTGGCAAGTGTTAGGAAGAGTGAACTCCGATTTTTGGATGATTTTTCTAACTTGATATGTTAGGCTCAAAAATGAAATGAATGGAACAATGAGTTAAGAATATTTTTTGGCCATTCTATAATTTGAAATTGTGCAGAAATGGAGGATCATAAACTTGTATACCTATTGTACAAGAGCAACCATCATAGGAACATCTAAAAGCAAGGACTTTGAGAAGAGATTTGTAGGGGAGGGAAAAAATTATTTTTCCTGTATACATCTTAGGTTTATTAGCTGGGACCCTGTCAATATTTTGTTAAATGGACAAAAGCAGATTTAAAAAGAGAAAACAGAAATCTGTTAGTGTGTGCAGCGATCACACACATGGGAGAACTTAGTGGTGAATCTGGGCTTATATGGCATTTTAACAAAAGAGCAATACATTTTTAGAGAAGTCACAAGACAAAGGGAAAGGACTTGGAGTTTCAAAGGTGGCAAATTGTAGAAAGGTAAATATATAGGGAACCTAAGAAAGGTAGGGAGTAGTTAGCAAAGTTTGTTGCATAGATTCCTCTGGGTTAATATGGGTTTGGCGTGGTCGCTGGCCTTTCTGCTTTTAAGGAGATGAGGAGAGAGTGGAGAACTTTTTTTTATCTGCTGCTTCTCCACTGCCTTCCACTCGAAATAGCCCTTATGCCACAGGGGCGTGCTTTGGTGTGGCATATTCCGCTGCCCTTCAGGTTCTAGGGCTGCTCTCAAAGCAGATTGTGAAGGGAAGTGTTACTAAATATGGAAATTCTATATACATAATTTTAAACATTAATAGAAATATATCGACATATGGTCATCCTCAAACGCAAGCAAAATACTTTATAATAATGAACAATAAATGAGACAACAACTGTGAAGTTTGTTGAATGTCTTTTCTTTTAATAAATGTAAGGCTTAATTTTTTTTAGAAATGATACATGCTTATTATGGAAAATCTACTCAGAGACCATTATTGTTAATATTTTAGCACCTTCTTGCAGTCTTTTAAAATGGATTTCAAGATTATAGTGTGTGTTAACATGGAAATGTAATCCTATATCCATCTTTATTGTTACCTAATGTGTATTTTCAAAATTATATATTGTAATGGGAAAATATTCATTATGTAATATTGAGTAAAAATTAAAAAATACAAAATTAATTTATACTGTATAATCCTACTTTATACATATGCTTTGGTCATGTATATATTATACATACATATATATATGAAAAAGGAA